CCTCAGAATCTCTTCTTAACAGCTACAGCAAAGAATAAATTTGGGGGACATGTTGAGATCAGACTAACATTCTCTGTTCGTGTCCTCTGTGTTACGATTGCGAATTAGGAAGAGGGCTACCGCGAAATTAGTCAGTCCCGATGTTAAGATGAGCTATAGGTCCAGATCTGAATGGCTTTGGCAGAAAGAAGATGAAGATGAAATGGAGAGGACGGGGCGAAGAGGATGAGAAAGGAAAGTCACGCTCATTACCATTCCAAATATAAATAATGAAGTATTTGTATTAAATTAAATCTATTACGTTATTTATGATAGTGTGTGACGTCATTCACTATTTGATATTGATGCATACCTTTTCTTTTGTGTTTTATTGATAGTCCTGTATAGTATGGAATATATTTTTGCATTAACTTAATCACCAAGGAAAGTCTCATGCAGAAATCAAAGTTTTCAGAAGACACAAAAGTTCTCGCGCTTTTTTTCTCATAGAGTGGAATAATGCAATTAAGCGAAAGTGAGACTCTACCTTTTCCTTCGTTCATTGTCTGTGAACATGGGAGATGCTAGCCTATAATGTATTCTTTCCTGAGCCTGTGAAGAGAACCAACCGGCAAAACTTTTAGCCTTACAACTATTCTTTTCTTTTTACACGTGTCCCACGTTCTGTAAACTGTTTATTTCGCCGAACTATACTTTATTCAGTATCATTGCTATTTTGATTATCGAAATACAGTAGTATTTTCTGGCTCAATATTCCATCTTCATGGACAATAACTGTCATTCAGAGCAATAATTATTTGTCCTTAGCACTTCCAATTGCTTTTAAGTTAACAATATGCTCGTTCAAGGCATTCTTTCACAAATCTGCAAAAAATCTTGTATGCATTCTAAGAAATGCCCATTAGAAATTTAAAAAACATAGACTCCACAAAGATGTAGCAACCTACGGCTTCTTCTCATAGATTCAGAAATGGTGGTAAAACTAGTAAAATAAAATGAGTGAAATTATTTCATTCGAGGTATTTTAAAAATGGCAACAAAATCAGAAACAAGGTTACCAAGCCGAAATTTGACCTATTCGGAACTAGTAGTTGGTTGAGTATTTCTAGCTTTACTTGGTTTTGACCGCCAGGGAACACAGTCTCGATTGATTAGTAATTCTTAGCCAACATTTGTGCCAACATTGACCATTAAAGGAATTGATAACCATCCGCAACGACACGTGATACGTATAACGAAGTAAAAATATCAGACACTTAGACAATAGTTGTAATAACTGTTGTCTGGGTTTGGGACCTGTCTCAGTTCGGAACCCAGTCACTCAGTTCAGAACTCAGTTGTCTCAGTCCAGAACCCAGACGCTCGGTTTAGAACCCAGTTGTCTCAGTTCGGAACTGAGACAGGTCCCCAACTGAGGTACAACATAACTACACTTGAGAGCACCACGTAAAGTATAAACGCGTAATAAACACCAGTAAGTTAAGTAACATTAGTCCGACAATAAATTAGTATAATAGAGTAGAAATTCTCCAAGTTTACAATAATAAATGGATGGAAATAAACGCCCTAAATAATACACGATATTAGTCGAACAGTTGAATTCCCATCGATCCGATAAAAGTATCTGCGGAGACAATACGACATAAAGAGGCTTTATTATCTGTTACTGAGGACAATCCTCGTTGAATTACAGTAAGTTGTATGGCTGCGACTCACTTTAATGTTTGCAACAAAGTACGCATTTTACATTAACAGAATTATCACTTGTATCACGCCTCACTTGCTACTAGAAAAAACCCCCCCATCTAAATATGAAAATAAAAGTAAAGCCTAACTTATCAAACCTGGTATTATTTTCAGCGACCGGCAAACATTCTCCATAATTAGCGTAGGCATAAACACAGTAGTATAGACGAAGATTGTCAAATAATTATGATCCTATGCGAGAAAAACTTTATAGACGCAATTAGTACACAATATGTTATAAAAGGCCATCCAATTATTTCAATAGTATTACATACTATATGCATTTTATCTCCATTGCATTCTTAATAGTAGAACGATATGAGTTAGACCAAGCAATTACATCTAAGTCGGAAACTCGGTAAGTCGGACCAAATCTCGTCATTTTTCTTTTTTTCGTATTTAAAATCCCCTCGATAAGTCGAATTCCTTGATAAGTCGGACAGCCATACCCAAGCCAGTCGCGTCCGACTTATCGAGCTTACCTGTGTATGACACATTTGCCTTTTTTCAATAACATGCAGAAAATAATTTGGTAAGAATCAATTTATGACGAAACAAAGCCTGCCTAACTTTCGATGTAGGCGTATTACCCCTTACTTTTGATGAGCATAATCTCTTACTTAATCCACCTTATGTGCTCAACGTTCCCTTATCGAGCCAAGACGTGAAACCAGGATTTAATACCTCCCCGGCCGGCTAATAGTTGGATTCTTTTTCGCATAAATTTCGAGAGCAGATTACGATCTCAATTCCCTGAAGAGTCATACAGTATTTCTGACATCCATATGATGGCTAGTAGAGATTGGAAAAATCAGCCCAGAACAAATTTATATTGTCTTATTAAAATTAGTATTAATTTTTGGCATATGAATTGCTAGGCCTGTTATAAATTTGGGTTCTCTCAGTCTACAACGCATTAATTTCAGTGGTCAAGTTTAAAGATGACCCCGCAACTTAAATTTTTTTTTTCACCACCAGCAAATGCACTCCTGACGAACAGCTTCATGCATCACATGCATAACTACTGTTTTGTACAGTCGTAAGCTTATGTTTTTTAATATAACAGTGTGTAACGTAGACAAGATGACAGAAATTTCCTATTTTTGCTAATTGACGACTCTAATTCGTATTTTAATATGACCCGCATTTTGGTACCTGCTCGGGAATGTCTTTCACAAGAAAAACAAACATTTAATTGCAATGTCGAACACAACAGAAATCTTGCAGATTAAATGTGCTATGAGTATAAATCGAGAATCAGTTAATATTATATGTTTACGTGCTTTACGTTTATGTATTTATTATTTGTAAAATGGTATGTTTCTTTACTTTGTTGGGCATATTGGAAAATTGCGCATTCTTTCCGAAGACTGAGAGTCACCAATAAACATTTTTTAATTTTAAGTTTGCCGGGAACATTTAATTTGTGTTTTCTTGAAAGCTATCCTATCCAGTGTAACGGGAAGCGAGGAGAGCCATCCGCTATACAGATGCTATACACATACTATGCAGATGCTGGACAGTCTGAATATAAGCTTCAATACATTTATACAATATGGCGGTTGAACAAGAGCGGGCAATAAAATTGGCACTCGATTGTAATTGTAACATTGCGTTAGATATGAAATTAGCTAGCACTATAACCTTGCAAAACAAAGACATAAATCCAGTCTCAATTATGGACCGCATGTGGCAACTTATTATGAAAGGGTTGCTTATTTAAATTAGTTTCCAGCTTGGAAACCACAATTATTTTACCATTTTTGTCGATTACACCAGTATAGTTACCAATTATGTCTAATATCGATTGGTCACAATACATCTTGTTGGCCAAATACAGTAACAAATAGAAATTCCCAACATTATATAATATTAGTTACACTGTATGTTATGCATGTTGGCGAGTATTGTATTTTGATTGTCTATACCCTACGTTTTTATCGTACGAGCCGACACTTTGTCTTACGATTGCTCTTAAAAACAATTACAACTGAACAAAGACCCAACTTTATTTACCCATTAAAGTTTGTAGAACAATATTTAATTGGCGAAACTTATGACGCCCATTACACGTGCAAGCACAAACATTAAATTTTCATTATTATTCACGCATGTTCGATCGATTATCCGCCTCGTGTTGCATTCTCTCTCTCTCTCTCTCTCTCCCCCCGCATAATGCAAATATTATGCATACATCGATTTATTTATTAATTCTACAATAATTGGCAGTAAGCATGACAATGCAATGCGTAAAGACCATTGCTAAGCCGTAATAAAGCAATATACAGATAAGCAAGATTGGGAAAGGCTTTCTCATCAGTCTGCCAAGGATTGTAGACTGAAAATCAAAGCATGTCATGGTTGCAAAAGAGCGGCGAACTGTAAGAGCCACAGAATGGTAACTGAGAAGTGCGATTGGTTTTCTTGTCTCGATGTCAATTACCCCCCGTGGTGTTTATTTAAGAAATAATCCGATTGATCGCTACGCATTTCATTCATTTCAGGCGGTGGAATAACGTGAACACTCACGCCCAGAGTCGTCGAGTGCAGATGTACACTCAGGGAAAAAAATAGAACAGAACAACAAATTGGGAAATCGTGACATGATGCGAACCGTAAATATTGAGAAATTAAATAACTTTAGATTGTTCGATTGCATTATTAATTTCGATTATTTATTATTTGTGTATCTTTTATGCATGTCAACTATTAATAATTTCATTTCCAGGTGAACGCCATGTACCGTATATATTATTCATTATACCTCACGCTTTTTACACGCGCTGATACTATACAAACAATATAAATATTCAATATAAATATGCAATACAATTTTAGTTCACGCCAGTATTTATTTACAGCTGCAAGCCCTCAAAACTTCCTACGCTCTTCACAAGAGTTCAACTATAAACAAAAAACCAAACTTTGCTAGACGTATAAAGAGACAGAAGCTGTTTGACACATCCAATTAAGCGATACGTACTACTTACCCTGAGCTTATACTTTATATGTATTCTCAGCAAAAGTTATTTAAGCGATAGCTGGCAGATGCTGGATCCAAAAAAGAAAACAGAAAAAAACCAACTTGGGGTTATGTTTATACCGCTTTCATAATACTATTCGATATTCGGTATATACTCAAATTATACGAACACGTCGAGAACGTTTTTTGAAATCACTCTGTAAAATCAACTTACAAAAATACAGTCTATATAATAAATACACTTACCCTATCTAATCCAACACTCGAAACCATGTCCCCAGTAACAACGCAATCACAACGACCACGGAGTCAATCTCCATACAATAAGCCTCATCCAACTCAGACCACCGTTATCTATGCCGACCTCGACAACTCGCACGAAAAAGTCATTGTACAACTAACAGACGGTGCTCAAATAGACTTTCCTGTCCCTTCTGCACAAGACATACGCGACCGGTTTTTTTATCGAAAAGCCAAATCATCGGAAAAACCGGCTCGCCCACCAAACAAATTCTTCATCTTCCGCACAATGCTACAGGGTAGCATCGACGCCTTAAAATTACAAGTTCCAATTGTCTCTGGACTGGCCAGTGAGGTATGGAAAAAAAGTAGTGATGATGTGAAGGAATTGTTCACAAAGTTGGCCGCCAGAGCCAAGGCCGAGCATAGTGAAATAAATCCTGGATACGTATACAAACCATTTCGGAGAAACAGCAACGAGAGCGCTGATACTAAGGGAAAGTCAGAAGACGTTCATGACGAAAACATTGAACGAACAAAAGCTGAAACGATAGAAACCGCCGAATCAGCGCCGTCGAGTCCGTCTACTCTTACCCCCCCTACTACCTTTCAATCTATTCCACTGACATGTCCAAGCGATGGGTTCTATGTGCGCCTGCCTGATGACATCCACAAGGATCCATACGCTTTTGACGAACAATTTGGGGGCTCACATATTTATCTCAGTGGATGTATGAACACTTATAGATACAATGATTATTATAATGACACCGGCAATTGTTCGGACTCACCTCCCCCAGTTGAAGATACTGCTCTATATTCGGTCGGATACGATTATCCTCCTCCGGCGACGTTTGATGTTAAACGTTTGGCTGCTGCTACCATCAATAATGGAAACGCAATCGCTTGCGAGATGAATAACAAATTCAGCAGCACGCAACCACTCGTGTATCAATCATTCGATATTTCCTCTGGCTGCTATCCGTATTCTTACAACAACTACAACATGCCAGATTATCCATCGAACATACCACCTGACGCTTCGCTGTCTTTCGCGGCCATCTCATCCTCGGTATTTTATCTCAACACAGTCCCGCCGTCATCTCTCTCTCCGACGTCCTCCATCCCATACAGCGACTCGGCCTCGATGTGTTATAGTGCGTCTGATAAGGTTGATGAGGAGACCAGTGAATAATTATGACTGGAAATTTTATCCTTGATCTGGAAATCGCAATAGAAATTAAAGTTTGATAGCCGGGGAAACGGGATAGATAACAACGGACATTTTGTTGTATAGAATGGAACAATTTGCTTGTGTTTGTGGTCTGTCGGTTAGTTTTCCCTTGCTTGGTTTCTTTCTTCTTTTTCTTTTTCTTTTTTTTCTCATCCCATGGTTATTGCAATTTTTTAACTCTACATTTGACGCGGTTGCACAAGACGCCACATTTGCTTTATGGTATTAAATTTGTTAAGATACAGCACTAATAGCTCAATAATTCGCACTAAGCAGATAAGGGTATTAATATGATTGTATAGTATATAACATATGGTTAGACGCATTCGATTGCGTAGTATGATAACATAGTAATAAGATTTTATATTTTAAGAATACAGTAAGTTAAAGACAGAATTGTTTACACACTATACAAATACTACTCGGAGATATTTTCATAGCACGGCAAAGCCTCGGAAAAATACATACATAAATAATCATTAAAATCTCCAAATCTGTAATCTTCGTCCTTGTTCTCTCGATTGTTTGTTGTTTTTTCTCTTCCTTGACGTTTTCCACACATAAACTTTGCAGCTATATCAAATTAAGGAGGGCACGTATGGGAAATAAGAAACTCATGAGAGACAAGAATAGGCGAGGGAAAGATCATTTGTATAAATATAGTTTAGTGCACTGTTGATAGATGGGAATCGAAGCAAGCATGAATGTGTGACAGTTTAATGGTGAGAAAAGAGAACGTGGGAATCTTTAACGGAATCCCGATGAGAGAATTTTTGTGATGTATGATGACGCATACTAAACAGCCAGTCATGTGATGGGATATCACGCATATGTTTTAGATTGGGTGAGCTTTTTTTATTTGAATTTTACATTTCGAGTCTTACTACGATTAAACTTCAAATGCCTCCAATCATGGTCTCTATTTTTTTTTATATATATTAAATTATTGTATCAGATAAAGAACTCTGATATTTACAGTGAAAATGAAGAAGAAGCTACATGTTTGCAGAGCAAATCCCGAGGCTCTGCCTGTGAAAAGCAAAATAGCCAACTATCTCGAAATAAATTAATATCTCAAAAATTTACAAACAGCAATTCTCACATGTCAATCTCATCATAAAAATCTCTAATTTCCTTTGCCATAAATTTCTCCGATGCGCTCAATCTTCGCTTATTAGCTCTTCGGTTTTTCTTTGCGCCAGCACCAGTAATCTTAATATCGGCACAGTTCAAATATAGCTCATTGGTCAATGTAGCTACCCATCTCCATCTGAGCACGCAATTGTCGCAAGGCGTGTTTGGCAACTTAACAGAGGCCTGGAAATTGGGTCCTGCAACGTCGGCACAGTTGGGTAATTCTTGCACCAAATTAAAGGTCTTCTCTCCATCGGTCGATAATTCAACAAAGCATTGTCCCTTATGAGCGGCGCCGATTTCCCATTGGATGTTGATGTTCTGACCAGCGGCAAATGTTGACTGTACTGGACCGGCTGGCAATCCCGAGCATGGACTGACTTTTGTTGGACCTCGAGTGAGAGTTAATCCGTTGTTTTGATCTCCAGGGAAAATGCGAATTGGGGGATCGGTCATGTGTCCATGGGCAGAGACAGATGAGAGGAAGAAGAGTGCGAGGACGGTCAAAGCAAATAGAGTTTTTGAAGACATATTTGATAACGATTGGTAGGTATGGTATTAGTGATTGAAATTAGAATCAAGGGCGGGAGATTAGTTTGACTAGCAAACAGATAGAGAATGGGTTGTTTGTATGTTGGTTTATTTGCGTTGGATGGATAGAAGCGCAGCTTCTTCTTCTTCTTCTTGTCAAAAGAAAGTGGTTGATGGAGATAATGTGTTGGCAAGGGAAGCTCTTTTATAATTGAAAAGTCGGCTATGAATTTTATGTGCGACAACACAAAATTGTATATTAAGCATGCCCCTTCCTTATTGCTATTTTTATCCTCGGCCGTTGCACATCCATGTATATATGGAAGAAAAGGTGTCAGGGTACATATAAATGTCCTTGTTCGGGCGATGTGATCGTAACACATGCGACGTTTCTGGCACTGCATTTAGACATACCAAAAATCCCTTTTGTAATAATATTATTGTTCGCATGTAGGAAACAAAAGGAAAACAATATGCGCTTATCAATAATTATCACAAAGGAATGCGGGCTTGATCATGGTGAGTTTACGCCATTTGCCAAAGTCTTTGGTTGCCTTTTCAGTATCATAGATGATTATTAGCGCACGCGGAAGACCTTCTGATATGACCAATCGTTGCCTATCCTTATTGTGCAGGCCACGATCAATCTGTACCTTCTTCTCTTCTACATACAGTAAGTAGATTTTGCTCAAAATCAAGCCATTCAATGTCAGCAAGCAGCTTGGTAAATTGGCATCCGTTAGCATGCGGAGGAATTTGATGCCTTCTAAGCCATGTTTGGCTTTCATCGATAAGGGCAAATGATTGCGACAATGAAGCGATGCATTATTGGTAAATAAGCCTTGATGTTTGTAGGTTTCTGATGCTAGCATCACTTGACTTTCATCAAAGAAACCGTTCTTTATCTTTTCACTCCTCCAATCACAAACTGGCCTTTATTGAAAAACTACGACTAACCTGTAACAGATTGGTTTCATGCTTCTTTGTGCGACTCGGTTTTAAACAGGGAGAGTATTGTGTTCATGTGCATAAGCTTATTTGTCATAAACAGAAGGGTTCCGTTGAGTTGCGCCCGCCTAGAAATGTGATACGGAACTATTTTTAGGACTTGCACTCGTAGGGCTGAACGCAAGCATATTGCCCGCCAATCACGAAATTTAGCCAAATAATGGAGTTGCAGGGTTGATTTGTCAACATTTGTTGGATATTACAAGATCAATCAAAGCAGAAATATTTCTTCAGTACAATCGCTCTATAGAAATTATTGTTGATCGTTTTTTAATTAACCATATCAAGTAAACTATTTTGTACGTTATTGACAAATTATTATTGCTTTTAGCAAAATGGGCGTTATCTGTGAAGCAAGTTTGTCTGCGGTTTAACTTCGAACGAAATTATAAATAAAACCTCTGAACTAGATTTAGTGCGACTTTAACTGATTCATGACTGGGAAGATTTTCTATGACCTGGAAAAACAATTTTATAGCGTGCTAATAAATTAGCAGATTCATGCGCGATGATGAAATGACTTTGATGTGGATTGTTGGATTGTTGCCATTGACTTTTCCTGTAACTAACAGAGCGAGACAACTATTATCTTGAGAAGGTTTTTTTGGTGTCAGAGGCTAACGGGAAAATTTGCAGCAGGAACATGTGTTCGAGTCTTAGTTTGCCAGATGTGTATATTGCCTGGTGATTGCATTTATCTCACCAATCGCGCCCAACGATTGACTTCGCTTCTGCGTTAGGGTTAGAGAGCGTTTGCTTCAGAGAAATAATTGTAAAAGATGGGCACATTATCGCATCCAAAGCCGGCGGAATGGGACTGCTTTGTGAATCTATTTCAGTGAGATTGAATTTCGTTTCATCGGACGACTGTTATTGTAATACGTAGTCTTTGTCACAACAGATTAAATAGTCTTGCTATTAACGCAAGTCTGTAATGTCAATAATTGTACCAACCTGCTGAGAAACGTACGACTGTTCTTCTTAGACAACTGAAAAAACAAAATATTAAACTTTTTCTAGCAAGTTTCAAGTATGGGAACATTGCCTGACTAAAGAATTATAGCTTCTTTGGTTAAAAAATTTCCATTCGTTTTATTTGTTTGTTCACAAGAAACTTATTTTTGCTATTAAGCTTTCTATTATGTCATGTTAGTTACCTTTGTCAACAAAAAACATTCTTTAATATGTTGATATGGCCATTGTTGATTAAATATTTAAAATAAGTGCAATTGGTTTCCCAAAGGAATGCGTTGTCAAAAAAATCTTTCTCATTAACGCGATTTAAGACACGTTTTACGCCATAATCCATTCATAAGCTTATGTAATTCGGTAAACATTCCGTCAACCATAACTGTTCCATTGTTTGTCCATTACATAATATTATATATTTATAGAAATGGCTGTCAAAAACCGATTCCAAGAAAACGCAAGGGTTGGTTAGAATTTCCATATTAATATTTGTTTTTTCGTGCGCTACTGTAATTGATGAATTTTAATGTTATTTTTTTTTTCGCTGGATAAAATTTATGTGGATTAATTTCTCACGGTCTTGGGAAATATATTTAATGTTAACTTTAAAAATGTGTTAATAATTAAATTGTTACGCAATGGTCAGGCATGCAAATGTCACTTCCTCAATCAATATAATCCCTTATTCGTCTTATCACCATATTCTATTAAATATGATTTTCGATTTTTCGCTTTTCGATCAGGAATGGCCATATGTGCTCACGATGATTGGACATCCGATACTTGTGATCATCCTTTATTTGTTATCTTATTGGCTGTTTTCCGTTGGAGATTTCTTCGACATTGCAATGTTTGGCAGAAGGCATTCCCCGAAGACAGTGATTATCGTTTGCTGAGACGGCATCCACCATTATGCAAGAGATAAAACCAACATAGTAGACACCAGCAGCAAGAGTTATTATTGCTAGGAATCAATCGGCGCCGAAAACGAAGATATTCATGAAGAGATTCCATACAAATAGGGAGCAGAAATAAGAATACAAAGTATCCACAAATGCATACATTCAACATTCTACAAACCAACACGTCATTTGTAGCAGAATAGTGAGTATGTAGCTCGTCATCGATCATTGATACCATCATAATGCCCACTATACTCCCTGGATTCTATAAAAAAATGTGCATATCCCCAGTCATCAATCTCCTCTGATCTTACATAATAAATCACATGTACGAATCAATGAGATAGCAGAGTGTGCTGGTTTGTGCCATTTCTGTTGCCGTGTGATCGCTATGGCAGGCGATGAACTGTTGCCAGGATGTATTACAAAACAATTGAACAGCGTACGAGTCTACTTACAGTCTTTATGACCAAAGAAAGAATCAAGTGTACCCTAAATCGATCAGTATAAACGATAAGGATCTTAGTCTCTGAAGATTAAGCGATGGCTGCAAGCGCCATATATTGTATGTAAGACATCATATACATACTCAGGACCCTATTGATGGTCCAGTTTAGTACCCACTCCGAAAACTCCGTTCACTGCGTCTTCTCACTGAAAGAGATTTAGTTTTCCAGCATTATTTGAGATCGATTATTAGCCTCAAGCGCATCATATCATGATGTCCTTAGCACCCAATTCTAGAGAATAAAGAAGTAGATTTAGGTTTTTACTGGTATCTAGTCTCTCCTTATCTACATGCTCAGATTTATTCTTTGTACTAAATGAAATCGTTGCGGACTCGGACGTGAGTCGTGCAACACAATTGTTACGTAGTAGCAACACGTAAAGTAGCGTTCAGCTTTGGTGTGCCTAATAAAGAACACAAAATTCCACATGTACGAATCGTCCATCTCTCAACATATGCTTCTCCTCCTTATCACACACTACCTCTTATCCTTATCCGAACGAATTTACATGTAGGCGCAATTCTCTGCATAGCTTTCGTATCAGCTCATTAAAACGGTTCCCCATTTCCGTCAAACATCAAAATAGGATAATGCAATAATGTTGGTAAACTCCCGACTGTCTACATACTTATACAGTCTGTATTAATTATTTCTTCAAAAATACGGTAAAAACTGATCTGCTCAAGGTCCCAGTATGTTTGATGTTACACGTTGATCGACCTTATGCATATTTATCCAAGTCGTAATAATCTTTAATTGACAAAATACATAGAACAAATGTCACTAATGATAATATACGTTAATATAATAATAACGCTATCAAACTAACAATAATTGATTATGTCTCAAAACTATTAGTATCAATAATACAAACAAGCTTACGGCATTACTGTAAGAGACATTAGCCTTATATCTAGGTATCGTCAATCAAAAGCCTGATTTATTATTATCAATAACGCATGTTATGTCTACAGTGAAGATTCAGTATTTATAAGAAGGTACGACATTACGTGCTGTATCTATCATTTTTCATGTCATGTCGTTTACGTTCTGTATTTTAACAGAGATGGCATAGACATGCGTTATTTCTAATTACCATGCCGAGGTGCTAATGCCCTCTTAAGAAATAAGAGGATACTATATTATGTAACGAGTCTTTGATCAATCAATAAAACTAGTAATATATTCCCTTTCGAAAATCTCATTATTATCGTATATAATGGCCGCAAAATAACAATGCGTCACGTTATCCTATTCCTTGTCGCACTGTCCAAGTTCCGAATTCTTTTTCAATTAATATTAATACTGTAATAATTATACAGTTTAAATCCTGTTGTCATAATAATAAGTGAATTCTTGCCAATTAGTATCTCGTAAATGTAGTATTAGGCAGTCGCATGAAGCGAGTGTCTTTTCCGAAAAATTTGCCGATCACTTCCGAAGGCACCTCTATGAAATTAACGAAGAGATTAGTATTAATATTTGATTCGACTGATATACCAATACGAGTTGCCGGATGAACAAGGTCCACTATCATATAATTAGGGTACGAACCTCTACGAAATTAACCCATTGATCTGCCGGTGCAAGGTTAAATACATAATATAAAAATGCAAACACCTTGTTCTACAGGCACTCCGGGAGAGACCACAATCGAGACTGGGATCGGATCTGGTGTCTTTATTTCTGGGATCTTCTTTCGGTAGAATAGCAGACACTGATTTGACACGGTTATGGCCTTGTTTTGTTCGACTCGGGACCTGCCGTCAACTTACGGCCTCCTGATTCGCCGTGGAGTTATACCTAATTGATAATAAACAATGTCTGCGTTTTCCAGTTAATGTTACGAATACGCTAAACTTCTTTTACCAGATGATGTCAAATGATATCAACCCGATTTATACCTGGCACAGATCATAATGTACATCTTTATTGTTCATAAATACACGAGGCATAAACAATAAATCAAATTCTATATAATACACCCCACATAATTCACGATCATCACTGCCGGCTTGCAGAACCATCCTCGTATAATCTCTCTAGCTCCTTTCTCGCCTCGTCCTGTCTATTCATCGCCATATACACCTTCACCCTAGTTACTCGAGCAAAATCGTCCATGGGATCCAAACTCAATGCGCTATTTAGATCACTTAATGCCTCATCGAATCTCTCTAATCTAAAATATGCCGCTCCCCTGCTAGCCAACGCAAAAGTCCTGTCATGTGGCTCTCTCAACTCTAGCGCTCTATTCAAATCCTCCAACGCTTCTTCAAACCTCTCAAGCAATCTATACACATCTCCACGAAATTCCAATCCAAATGGATTATCCGGCTCAAACTCGAGTCCCTTATTCAGATCGACCATAGCCTGTTCATATTGATCTAACCATCGGAAAAGATTACCCCGACCAATGAGAGCTATTGCATTGTTCGGATCGAGCTGAAGTGCAATTCCGAGTTCGATAAAAGCAGTGGTGTAATGATCACGAAGACCCTCTATATATCCACGAAGACGCCATGCGCGAGGCTTTAGAGGATTCAAACGGATAGCCGTCGTTGCATCGGAAATAGCTTTCTGGTATTCAGGTATAGATTTATAAGCGTTAGCCCGGTCGCATAAGGCGGTATAGCTGGTCGGATAATATTGAAGAACTTGTGTAAAGCATTTCGCGGCTTCAGCATAACATCGATTTTTGAATGAACGAATGCCGTTTCTTTGAGCCGGATGTTTGGATTTCTTGATTCGAGTTTGTGTATTTCCTGGATTAATCTTGGCGTCGCTAATGGCTTCATGACCACTACTCTTGTCTTTGCCACTATTGTCATTTTCATTATCGTAGGAAGTACCATTGGTACTTTCTATGCTATCGACATTGCTGGAATCACCCAAGTTCTCACACTCACCCAACATCCTACACACCCCTTTGTACACTGCATGTAACCTAAAATCCGAAACATCATCTTCCTTGACCTCTCTTCGACATAAATGACATGTAACAGGGTCAAAACTCGCACGCTTCGATTCCCGCCAATTTTCTAATGCCGCAGAACTAATAGCATGTCCGCATGCCAAGACACACCAATCACCGGTAAATTCGAGATTCACCGGACAAGTGAGTTCGGACGAGATTAACTCGAGCAGCGTCCGAGTGAGTTGACGCGGAGGAAGGGATGGTGGTGGTATCTGAGATGAGGAGGCAGGCCGTACTGTCAATGGCGTGAGAGGCATTAATTTCGAGTGCATCTTTCGTCTTTTCCGCACAGATTTGGAAATCAATTGCCTTTTCCTATCCGACATTCTTCCCAAAACCGGTGATATTTGAGCTAAACCCTCTCCGATACTTGCAAATGTCAAGCCGTCTCTTTTCTCAAGTGTCGACAACACTTCCAGTGCCTTAAAAACGACATAATCACAACCACTCTTTTTCAACACCTCTATAGCAATTAGATAACAACATGCCAGGGATACGATTTCATCACTGGAGCGGACGAGGCTCAACGCAATGTCCAAAACATTCACTGTTATCACATCTCGGGATTTCAGCGAGCGTTTACGGGTAAGTCTGCCTGGTCTATGAGGTTGAGCTTTTGCAGGAGTATAAGAGGGCGAGGAGGACGAAGAACATATTGAATTGATATCAGAGTACAGCCATAGTATTTCAATAAGTTGTAACTCGGCATACTTTTGCAAGGTTGGTGGATTACGTTTCATCCCATCTCCCATCTGCCATGTCATTAGTGAACTATGCATCTCCCTTAATCTACCCACGGTGAGATACCATTTCGTCACTTTGTTCTCCTTCGCATACTTGACGCTCAAAGCATCCCATAAATGCTTAATCTCCGTATTATATCCAGCATTCGGAAACAACCCTGGGAAGTTACCATAATCCAGAACATTGGCGATACCTCTGGCCAAACTCCCGCTCGCTGAATTTTGGCATTTGCGTTTGGCCAAGCAATATATTATCTGATGCGCATAGTCTACTAGTAATTGGATGTTGTAGAAGTGATGCTTGGAGAAATGTGTAGATACCAAGCGACGTCTTTGAAACAGTTTAAATATTGAAAGCTGAGGTGAAACAAATAGTCTATTTAATAAATCGAACCATAGAGGTGAAAGATTGCCCAGTGTTTCTTGCATTTTGCGGATAGTCTCGAGCACCGAAACTATCGTCCTCAGGTGTAACTCACATATAAATGCTGATTTTGTCGTTAGTTTCTTATATCTAATATTGTCCGTCAGCACGATCAATGCTTGAGTTAAAACACCCTCTGATAAGTTTGATTTAGGGTCTTCAATGATTGCCTTTATCTTTAATAAACTGATCGGATTAGGAAGTGTTCCTTTTAGGCCAGAAATTAACTGTATTGCGCGTTGTTCATCGGCTGGGTGTTCGCCATCAGCAGACTCTTTTGTATCTTGATCTGAGGATGAGATTATTTCTTCTGTAAACATTGGGGTAGAGTGAGAAATGGCCGAATCGCAGTCAGTGTCTTTTGATGCTTCGCCTATCTGGTGACGAAGATTGAAATAAACGTTAGTCAATAAACTAATTGCACTTAGGTTATATTACGATTATCAATGCTATATATTGGTAAAGGCGTCTAGTTGCCTGTACTCTCAATAATCTAATCTTTCCGACTAATCCCTTGTCCAAGGGAATCCCACCTCCACTATCACTTTTCGATTCTCTTAATTTTCCCTTTCCATTCGCTCACCTCTCCTTCAAGCATTTGTCTTTCTTCAAATCCATGCCTTCTATGCAGGGCAAGTCTTACGTGTGTCTTTAATACAATCATTTTGTCTAAGCTGGGTTTAATCAAATAATGCAATGAGAATCAACAAAAGTCTTAGATCTCAACTAAATAACTGTAAAGTGCTTTGTTATTTCGTGGCTGCAACTCGTGCAGTTATATGAGGCTCCCTTGTGATTGATTAACATACTGCCTCATACGACTTATGCGCCAGCATCTGATGGCGTATAATTGGGTGTGATATTCAGGAAATATTACCAAATATATCCAATAGTATGTGCGAGAAGAATGTTTGAAAATATGGGAAAATGAGGGAATTCACTGTATTGAAATGGGTCACAACGGGTAGATGAAGAAAAAAGAGGAAAGGATAAAAGGCAGTGATGCACCGGGGATTGGGACTTAGTTTTCCGTGTGCGGTTGAGGTGATGACCATGAAAATGGTAAAAAAAAGTAATACGTGATTTTTGACGTGAGATTTTTTAATACAAAACAAACGCAATCATTAAATGGTCGATCATATTATAAGAATTGGCTAGCGAACAAGTTCTTTGATGCTATATGCATATCCATAAGTTTCTTTTCCAACTCGTCTCTCTGGCCCTTTCTCTTCCTATTGAGGACTGATAAGCTGTACGGACATATCCTATTCGTGCGAGAAGTTTGCAACATGAGAAAAGGGGGCCAAGATCACCTGAGTGGTGTTCTGAGAAGACCCAAGCGAGAGTGGTCGCCTGGATACCAGGACGTTTTTCCGGGGCATTTACTAAAAAAGCCCATTGGCATGTGGTGCAACGTGTGATAAGATTATCTTATGAGATAACGATTATGAGTGGCTCGAATGGCGGTGCACATGTATCTTACAAACAAAACAAACCGCAAGCGAATTCTTCTCTCTCGCTTGAACGTTAGCATGATAAGAAAGAGACTTTATATTTGGTTACATGTAAATGAATGATCAAATTTTGAGGGAAAAAAAAAAACAAATAAAAACAACCTTGGCCAATGTTATTGTTGATAGGTGTTTATTGTTCGGCATCCCTTGGATTTCACCCAATAGAAGACTGTTATCAATCCCGAATTTTTCCATGAGCTGTAAACTACATATTTCTATATTTGGTAGTTGAGGAAATTCTAATACTGCGGCAGCCCAAAATAGATGTCCACATGACATTACTTTAATAAATTCTGGTATTTAATAAACTATATAAAACAAAATTTTAAGTTTATTAAATTAATAACACTTATAACAATTATCCGATAAACATATCATTATCTATCATTCACCCCCTCGTTTGTCACACCAAACAGGATCTGTAACAGGTTTTGAGATTTCTATACATTACATAAAAGAAGTTATCCTGCATCAATTCGTCAAAATATGCCCTAACCACGAACTTGACAAGATTTTCATCTATTCAAACATATTATAAGCATAGTCTATCAAATCATTCTTTATTATCAACCCCAGATTTATCATCATCTATTAACCTATAATTTCCTTTAACACATCATAATATTACCCTTAATAATTTCAATCGTACTGTTCATTCCACATACTCTTAAACTTCATTAATACCTATCATCAACGCATCATCAACATTTCTTGATCAATTGTAATATAATCACGCTTTAAAGAAGCACCAATACCTGTATTATATAAAGTTTTGCTCCACCATCCGCTCAATCATTCAAACTATTTTTCTCGGTTCCAATCACCTTTAGAATTTCTTCTCATCATATCCCGATTACTCCTTACCATTCAGATTATACATATTCCTTGATCGTTCTCGTTCGTCTTCATATTCTTTCTCGTCATACTCCCTCCCCTCCGATTAAATGACCTCGAGCACGCAACCAAGAAAAAAGCGTAGCAAAAAAACAAAGACACCTGAGGAGCAGCAGCCTAGCAAAATAACAAAGACACCTTACGAGCAGCAGCCCAATAAAAAAAGAAAGCAGCCCAGCAAAAAAAGAAAGACATCTTGCGAGCAGCAGCCCAGCTTGCTCGAAACAATTCTTATTCGCCGCTACGATTGTTCGTACGAACATGTTCTCGTACGTGGCACAGTCGGAGGGGAAAAAATCGACATTGCCTTTCAAGTTCCTACCATATCAGATATCCACCAACATCTCAATAATCCGCGTAAAAATGGCCAGACTTGTGTGCATGGAGCGTATTTGTTGTTCCGCACCTTTTTTAATGCGCGTATTTCTGAAGACCCTACAATAAAGAGACAACGTGGGGTAATCTCTAAACTTAGCAAGGAGATATGGGACAATGCTGGAAAAGAAGTAAAAGACAGATTCTCCAAGTTAGCGAAAGAAACGCACGACAAATTCAAAAGAGAAGTTCCTCTAATCTGGGTAGGCGAAAGCAAGGGTAAAAGCGAAACCTGCGCTGTTGAAAGCAACAGCAACAACAGCGAAGCTAATGTTGGATCGGAAGTCAAAACTAAAGCTAGAGACGTTGTCGCATCCACAACCGCTGCAACTGAAATTACTCCAACTGGATCCGTTTCTGTTTTCACTTTTTCTGAAAACCAGCCAACCAACAATAATAGTGTTTCATATTCGTATGATACATACGAATTCCTTCAGGCAGAAATACCAAACTTCTGTTTCACCATTGACGTGCATACATTGCAACAACTACAACAACTACAACAACTACAACAACAACAACAGGACCCTTATCCTGAACAATATTTGGCTGTGCCAATTGTTCAGAATACTCCTGATGCAAATATACCTTATTATACACAATCAAATGAAGGCATTGTGGATTACAGCGGGCCTATGCCCATGGAACCGCTTTCTGCGACTACGGAATATGATATAGTAGTTGACTCCGACCAAGGCGTCGAGTGGAGAGAGTATGCGCTTTAGTCATCGCAGGATTGATGAGCAGGTTATAATATACATAGGTGTAATTTGATATGGGTGTTTGAGGGATGGTGTCTGGGCATATAAATTAGATATATATTTACTTATTATTATAATTTTGGTACCCGACTTCCAATGTAATTAATGTAAAATATTGTAATATTAATTTTATTCGGTAATTGGTACTTCAATATACAACACGCTTATTAGAGTTACTTCTGCTCTCTGAGAAGTATTTTTTTTGTAGAAATAGAACATCTGCACCTTGTAAATAGAACATTAATTCTTACTTCTTCTTTCTATTTTGTTTTTTTTTTTGTTTACTTGTTTATTTCTGTTTTCTTTTATGTAATTATTGGTATCTCTTGCTTTATTTCGATATATTTTTTTTTCATCTCCCCCTTTATTTTAGTCGCATGTAATTTTTTCCCCTAGAATTCATATTACAAATAAAGAAAGCTTTCGCTGCAACTCCGAAGGTTCATTATTGTAAGACAGTGATAACAAGTTGGTTGAGCCATGTGACATGGTACCAGAGCCACGATTGTCAGATGATCATTTTTGCTAGTGTTTTAGTATCCGCATGACTACATTTTAACAGGATTCAATCAAGAATAATGCATTCGGATGGATTGTAACAATAATCCGGAGTGAATAAAGTTCGTGTAGCTGCGGAAGTATAGGAAAAAACTCCGCAACAAAGGAAAGTCATTTACGCACCACCATGGTGATAAGCAAGTTTTATAGAACATATGACCCAAATACAGTCATTTTCGTTCCGGCATCATTACAACATCTACTAAGATCAAATAAAAGGTTTCTCTCGCTTATGTTCGCCTTTTGTTAAATTAGTATCCATTAAATCAATTTTAGGTGAGACCAATTTATTAGATAGTTTGTAGTCGGCGAGATTATTAAATGTTATTCCAAGGGAGATATAATACACTATCTAAAGGACTAGACAATATTTAAATTATAGCAAATAATCGAATTTTCATAAACAATCTTCCTATAGCCAATTAATAATATGCGACATTGAGTGACCAATACGTAAGTTGTGTCCGAGCGTCATGTTTCACCAGTTCTCCACAGTATCTGTGTATAACTTTTGTTTCCTTTCAATTAAAATATATAATTAGCCAATTTGAAACCGGAGACTACATCAAACAAACAACAGCTGAACATTGTTTCTAAAATGTCCGCCAAACGCAATATTTTGTCTTGAATTGATGCTCTGAACAGAAATTGCTAAGTAATTGTAATGGTCGGGTATGTGTATTCAAAAAGGCTTCAGAAAGTATTATATATTTGCATCGCGTTTTTGATACAATGTCTAACAAACGCAGCCTTTATGTAATAATAAGACTATTGATGATGCGGGCCGGGTAATATTGGATCAATTTGTTATCGTACAACAACATCATTGTTTTATTGCCTTTAAGAGTGTCACAGACATAATATTTTGGGAAGTTTTTGAATGGCATGCGAGTAATGCCATCCGTCGATTGCGTGCATAAGTCCTTTCAAACGCCGTTGAATACGGCAAAGGATAAGGGGGATGATATTTGTGATAAGTATTATTTATTACTACATATTCTTAGTATTACATTATAATCTCTATATCATATAATACTCTATATCATATACCTAATACCTTAGCATATTAGAAGTAAATTTTAAATCTTACAAAAAACAAACTACTTTGCGGAGTACACGTTAAATGTTTGTTCATGGCATACAAGAGACGAGGATCAATATATTGACCACTATAACATTGAACGTATCTGGATTGTGTTATTTTCGAATGACTGAGATATACTAGCCCAGCAAGTCAATGATTCACATTCGGCTGTGAGTAATTAGTCTCAAAACTGCAAATACTACTACAACCACTGCTACTATATTGGGTGAAATTATTATTGTAGGCAACACTTCCATTAACACCATAACCATTATTACAAAAATCAATATAAATAGCAGGACCGTTTCCGACAATAGTATCATCGTTATAATTAGGAGTAAACTCGTGAAAGTTATGTGTGTCAGCGACTACAGCGTTTGGGTTTATGTACGTGTGCTCGTTTTCACAATCAGGAATCGGATAATAATCAAAGGGGTAAAGGGGGGGGGTTTGTATGATCAATGAAGTGCGTATCAACGTACTCATTGCTGGCGTCACCGGCGAAAGTATTGGAATCATTAGAAAATTCTCTCTCGATACTAGAAGCCTCATCCGTAGTTATGCTGTTTGCATCAGTAGTGCTATCCGCCATACTATCATCCGTGCTGCTTTTACCATCCTGATTATAATGTTTAAACACAATGTTTTCTTTCAATTTCGACTTTACTGTTTCGCTCAAACAAGTCATTTCCGCCTTCAAAGTTGGTGTTACTTTGGACCATAGCTTTCCATAAAATATGCTAGCTTCTCCATATTTGAGCTTAAAATTAGGTGACAGAATACATCGGAAGACCATAAAAGCTGAATATTGTCTAGTTTTTTTCTTGCACCTTTGACGTAATTCCTCTATTGAAGGTATGGCACACTTTTTTAATAGTTTACCTAAATGGTTGATTAGAATAAACCCTGTAACAAAGTCTACTACTGTGGATTTGTTCGGAGAAAATGATTTATTTTTGCTCTGTGTTCGTGTTGGCGGCATTGTGGATGTGAAATGAGGCTAGCTTTACAACAAGTAGGATAAGGATGCTTTTCAATAAAGTTAGCAACTAATACGGGACGATCCATTTATTTATATTTTACTAGGTTCCGGCCTTTTATTGCGGTATGTATTGCATCTAATAAATAATAATAATAAATATTGGTCATCATGAAGCGACCTTTCAAAAATTTCCTTTATTATATAATTAATACCATACTTTTAATTGGCTCGATTTCTGTAGAATCCGTAAATAACAATGTTTTTGCATGTATGTTTGGCACCCATATAATGTTTCCAACAAATTGCCTAAATAAGTAACAACAATTCATCTTTCTAACCTGTTCATGTTATGGGGCAAGCGAATCACACGATAGCACGTTCATAAAACAGACACGCGTGAAATAATCACATAGTATATAATCGGAATATTTGCATTATGTTGCATCATGCACAGGCAATAACAAATACAAACATTACTTTCATGGTTGCTTCGAAGACGACGGAACCCAATTATTAGTTACAGAATAAATTTATTTTCTATCAAAATTAAATAATCTTCTCTACAAATGTATCCGTATTTTTTATGATTTGACTCAAATAATAAAACCATATACCAGCAGTATCAAATTAGGTGACCAATTAATAATAGCTGCATATAGTTGTCAATTAATGGACCATATACTTATATGGAACATGGTATTTTATCATCTGACATTAATTCCCAATGTTATGTCAGGTGTTTAATGCAGATAATGCATGAAATTTGTTTGAATGTAATTTTTAAGGGGTATTTCTTTCGTATCTGAACGACTCGTGCAATGAATTGGTCATGCGTATAATATACCGGTTTTAATCAAGCTTGTGAACCACAAAAAGAATAGCAATCTTTTCGTGGACGAGACTTTAATATCGTATATGCACCCCCAAGTCTAGTTGGGTTTACGTTGGCTGTTAATGGTGCAGAATTGTATATAAATACGCCAACAATCTATGCAGATTGTATCTCTATCTTAAAAAAGAAGACCCTATAAAAAATTTTATTTAATTAATGATAAATAAATAAAGTAAATATAATTGAACCGCGTGACTTATAAAGAAGTTAATCAAACTTTGTCAAAATTTGAATTTGCATTCTACTCATTTGCCAATTAATTAATAGCATACGAAATGTCTTAATAGCTTTAGTAATAATTGATTACTTTTAAAAAAGTATGTCACTTGTTTTGCAACCTTTTTTTTTAAAAAAATTTTGCAATATGTTATATTAATTAATAATTCTCAAATAGCTATTTATTAATATGTATAACAACTTGTTTTGTAACCTTATTTTGCAAGTTTATACTTGGGCGAATACAAATTAACGTATAATAATAGAGCTGGCTCAACTTATTAATTAAGATAACAAAATAATTTTTGTTAAATTTGAGCATAGGTTGTTTGTTGTTAGTAATACTAATATATGTAGGTTTAGTCCTAAAATACTTTGCAATTTGGTATGCTACGTGTATTTCTAATCTGCGCATTTATAATATAACTAGATAAAATAAATATACGCGCTATTACTTATGAAGGCGACCACGCCTGGAAAATTTAAATATCATTCCCGTGTATCTTTTTATAATAATGAAACCTGGACATTGAGTTTAGAGATAGCCGAGAGTGTCGGGTATCATTATCTGTTATGCTGTTCTTGGCTTGCTTGTGTGTTTTATATTCCACTATGTATAATTATAGTGAGATTCATTTTCGGATCTTTGTTCGTTTTGTTCAAATTCTGATTAATAAAATAATTAATTTTAAACCACGTTTACTAAAAAAAATTAAACAAAAACTTGACTGTGTTTATAATTGCATCGAGCTTTCTACAGAGGTATACTTGAGCGCCTTGGTCCTTTTGCTTTTTGCACAGTTGCTATTAGTATTAGACTTTGTTTAAGTACCTTCTTCTTACTCAAGTTTGAGAATTACCTTACATTAATTCATACTATATATATATTTTAATTATTGTTGCTGACACGGAAGCAACTCATAATTTAGGACAGTTTTTCAAAACAATATTATTTTAACTGTTTGGTTTTTTATATAAAAGTGGCATAGGAATAGAGTTTTTGGGCGCTACTAAAATTTGTAAAGCAGAAAAAATTGAGTCTTCTAGGTTCTCCTATTTTAAAAATATTTTTTCATTAATAAAAGTAAAGAAAGAATTTTTTTTAAATAGACAATACTCATTGTTTAAATATAGGAATTAACTTCTGCATCATTAATAGCAACAATTTTAATTTAAAATAATAGCTTAAACAAAGATTATACAACTTTGGATAACTCTACTCAATCTCCTTTTGTCAACGTTACCTTTTGTGCCTACGTTGTTATTATCAAGACTAGTAAGAAAACTGTTTAAAATTTAATTTTTAAATCTAAATGTTTCTGTGAGAAAATTGTTTCTCTGGATGTTAAATTCTCATTAACTGTAAAAGCAAGCAATTGTATCTTAATATTCATTATAGTCAAAAACGGGTTTTGGATAAGACAACTGGCTCAAGAAAGTTATTAGCTCTAGTATGTCTGGGAGAGCAACGTTACACGACACTTGTGAGTAAACACTTATTCGAACCTTTTTTCCCACTGGTAATTTATCTTTCTTAGTTGGTGGTTTACCAGTTTACGTGAATTTGTTCTTGCTAGCAATGTCTCCAAATTGCACACGTTTGACCCCGAATATCCCTAATTGTCTACAAGGCGAAATTTCTTCGAACTTGTAGCGTTTTAATGCCTTTCTTATTTTGCATTTTAGTCATTAATATACAGTTCAACCCTTCGAACCTTTTCGCACTCCATCTTATAATTTCAAGTCATCGGTTATTTTTAGCACCAAAAATCCGGTTTTACGTGAGTAGTAATAGAAGGTTGAATTCGTAGATTGTAGATAGATAAATAAAGAAGTGTGTTGATGCAGTGGATACGGAAGTTGTTTCGATGAGACTTGTCTTCGAAATGTGGATGCAGAAAGAAGTCATGTGCCGATTTCATATTTAACCTCGATTATAGATCAATCGATTAATTGAAACAAGGCAAGGTTATTTCTTCTATAATATATAATACACAATTAATATTATGCATCAACTGGAATGCAACCAAGTGCTTTCAACAGTTTTAAACCCAAATTTTATTTTCAAAATTTACTGCAAAGATTTCTTTGCTGACTGCCGTTATTTTTTCCTGGACTGAATGCAAATTTGTTCACGCAATTAAATTTAACATGTTATGTGACATTATTAATAATAATCATTTGAGTATTCATACACATGGCTTGGAGGTATTATAAAATTTTTTCTCTATTATTTAAAAATTATAATTATCAAAGAACAAGTATTCAATGGGATTCAAATCTGGTGACCATGCAGGCAGTCCAGCATTTCAATACCATTGTCCTCAAACCATTTTGAGCAGTATGAGAAGTGTGTTTAGCATTAGGAAATTTATCACCAAGAATGCATTTATTTAGTATTAGTATAAAGTTCTGCACTCACAATGCAGTATGCTTGAGCTGTCACGCAACACCAAATTTAACTGTTGGCATGCTGTTCTGTCAATATGCTACCAGGCTTTTCCACACCCACTCACATCCATCTGACCCTAAATGGTTAATCTTGGCCTTTCAATCTTCCACAGTCTGGTTCTATACTTGGTTGCAGAGTTAAGATGTTTCCATACATGTCTTGGCAAAAGTCGTGACTTTTCTTCTTGGTTGCTGTCCTCAACTCGGCCTCTTTTAATGTAATGACACTAATGTCTATATTGCTACCATCCCTCAACTTTCAGGTAAGTTTGACAGCGTTATCTGCTAACAGTTGCTTTAAGCTTCTTTGGCTGTCCATATTGGCTTGACTTTGCATGCATTATAGCTATTGTGGCGTGACTTATGATGGATTAAAGTAAGCAATATATTTTGGTAGATTTTAAATTTGTGTTACGAGTTACAAATACATAACGTTTAAATTAGTTAAGAATTACAAACTGACTCAATGAGTTAATCAACTTTAAAATTCATAACTACAAAAGTTCTAAGGCTTTGTCAATAAAATAAAAATGAATTAAAAGCCAAGAAGCAAGACTATTTTAATTTATGGATATTTGTGGAGTTCTGAGTCAATACGTTCAATAGTTACAAACATTGAACCAGTTTTGTAAGTCACTGTATTTCCAAATTGTCAAATAAAGTATTGTCAGTTGCCTGATGCAATAATATTAAATAAGCCGCAAATGCAGTACTCCGCCCACTTCTCGCCACCTAAAATTTTTAATTAATGAGCTTGTTTAATAGTATTAGTATGAAATTTTGTATATTCGCTAAATTAGCATCGTCACCATCCAACAATTGAAAATGTTTTGGTATTTTGCTACATGGCTGTCATGTGTAAAAATGCATTACTATTTCATTATGCTGTTCGAACGGGAAATGTAATTTTAATTAAATACATTGCTATGTGTAATACTATTGTATCATGAGGTAAGATTTAAGTGTTTATAAACACTTGAAGATAAGGCGTAATACAAGTAGTAATGGCACAAGTCACTTGTCATTGCTTATATAGGTTATTATTCATTCTTTACGTCAGATTTACAAATGTTAAATAACATAATATTTATAACAAATCCAGTTGGTTATATACAGTAGGGTTGATATCGTAATGTTAATAAAATACTCTTATAATGTTGTTACCTGATTGTCTTTACTATTTCAATCTGACACATTTCCATTCCGATGGACATAAATTCCAAATCGACATACAACACTATCAATGTCAATAATAATTTAAACTAAATGTTAGTCACAAATTCTGGAATAATTAATTGGCATGCTTATAAATAAAGGACGACAGACGTCAGTATTGTACGTTGACTGTAATAGCTTGCATTGTAACGATTAACTTGAAATAATCTTAGACAACGTTCGCTCAATAATTTGTTCAAACCATTCTTTTTTATAAGATCAAACAAACACATATTTATTACCCCGACTGTGTTTAATTGATTGGTACGTACGTAACAGCGTTCCAGGCAGTAGCCATACAATCTATTTATCCCTATACTCGAATTCTGTTTGAAATAACACATTGGCAGTCGAACAGAAGGTATCTGTCAGATAATCAAGAAATTCTGGGGTAACTGTACAATTTAATGAAAAGCGACCCAAACAGATGTTGAAAAAAAAATTTAACATTTTTTATTTGTTAAACAAAAAAGTAAAACTATTATAATTTTATATAAACAGAGCAACGTATGATGTTAAGATAAACAACCTAACAAATGAACAACCAGTAAGATTTTTAACTACTTGATGTTGAATATTAACATTCTGCTATGTTTAATTACAGGATTTCAGCCCAAGCTATGCAGTTTTTCCATACTAGCGTGGTAACCCACAAAGTGTCATGTTTGTGCATTGAACTTCTTTACTTTGTAATCTATATACCATAAAACGGAGTTCGAATAGTAGTTACGAAAATAAGCCAACGTCGTAAAATCCAAAATACTCACTCAGTCTAAATGCACTACGGCACTATAAAGAGTGAGGATTTTCCAAAGCCAATTGACATCAGTATAATCGATGTTAGCCGTAATCTTGAAGCAAACACACTCTTTTTTCGTCTGCGACGTTCATCAGCTATCTTGTTGTTTGATGGCTGACGGACTACTTCGTTATCCGTTCTTACATTTGTGTTTATTTTTGTCAGATAATTTGTGTAAAACATTTCGTCAGATTCGTTGACATGATACGAATCATCTTCGTCGTCGCAACAGGGTGTACAATACATAGACTGACGAGTGAGTTGAGGAGACCAATATAATGACTTATATTGACAGAAGGGGACTTCCGAAGGAAGAGAATTAACGGAATATGTCGGTTGACTTTCGTTGGATGTTTGAGAATTGCTGTTAGGCGGTGTCATTCCCTCCATTGCGTGCGATATATAGATGGGATGTATTAACGATGATCTAGTGCGCCTGGCATATATATGTGTTTGGGACATTCAATTCGTGTGTATATCCGGACAACGTAGACATAATCCAAAATGAGGAAAAGCTGTATGTGTACGTTATTGGAGTGAAAAATCGTCCAAAAGGGGGAGATATTTGGGAAAAGCGCTAAAAAGGGAATATTGATATGTTGTATAACAAGCGTAATCATAAGTTGAAAGATTTTTCAGCCCAATTAAGACAAATATCGTTTTCACAGTTACACCGAATAAATTTGGAAATTGGGCGTCTCTATTCGTACTGGTATACCCCGAATAAGCAAACCTTAATGACCAAACAGGCAGAGTCATTTCGTACCCGTTCCACAATTGATACAATGCTTTTAAATACTTTGATAAAGGTTTCGTGACCAAAAGGGTACAAGTGAAACCCCTGAAACACCCAAATATGTGTTGGCCTAATAAAGCAAATCTCCTGCAGTGAGAAGCTGAATTCGCATACACGAGAGGGTTGATATTATGGTCATAAGAACAGGTAATCAGTACCTATTATGTAAAGTCCAGTTCTTTAATATCCAATTAAATCTCTTACATGATCGATCTGAATTCTTGGGAAAGGCTTAATTTGTGATATTCGTGAGCTTTTTTAGCGTTTTGACTGCAGTCTAGCTTTTCAACGAATGTGTGAACAACGTATTAGAATGGCTGTAACTGTTATTTAGCTTGGTCCCACCTACAGTAAATAATTACCACGCAAAATAGTAAAATTTTTTGCTAATAAGGAAATCAGACAACCAATTTCAGGAAAGTTGGCGGTCGAATACAACCAATATAAACTCAAACATTCGAATATGGACAAACAGATAAGTTGATGCCGTTTAAGAATAAATACAAACAAACAAATAAAGCGTAAGAAGAAATCAGATAACCAGGTATGGATATTACGCTTGCCTTTCTCATGTTTGCATGCTTTTGCGTTACACTTCCATATACAGTATATATGATGTTGTTGATAATAAAATACCTGTAGGTAATAACAGAGTCTCGGAACCTGCCAAAGAAAACCCGCTGGCTGTCAATTATATCGTATAATATAGACTCTGTGTATAGTAGTAGTCCGCTTTATAACTTGCTTAAGATGAAAAACCTGACTGAGACATTCAATAAGATCACTTTATATAATTAAACAAACTGTTGGACGGATGAGAACTTTGACAGTAACACAAGACGACGTTACGTTCTTGAAAAAGAATAATACTTATTGACAACGCAATGTAAATTGGACATTTCACAATTAACTGGTTTAGTATGAGATCACAGTCTAACTCAAAGTGTATAGTTACTTATATGAATACATCCCTTTTCTCTTTCTTCAATACTATTTTTTAAAATAATATCTATCACATTAGTTAAATTATGTAGTTACGCATTTGATGATAGTTTACTTCATGTCAATCGCCATTTTATTCTTAGCGTAGCAGTAGGTGAACGGAAAGCTTTATTTACTCTGAATATGAGTTACGTTCTGATGTTACAGATCTGTTTAATGTTTGCTAGATAATAGGTGATAATTTGTTTCCCAACTACTAAACTATTATAGCGTAGGATTTATCAGTGTTTGTGTTAAGAGAATTCTCGCTTATTGATTTTAACTTTGTTCTTTTTCATGTGTATTTTATCTAGAATAATATATATTCCCAAAGGTTTTTTTCAACTAGACACTTGTTGATTGCCTTACGATATAATAGCGTAATTCTATTAGTATTAATATGATAACACTGATATCTAATACTGAGTTAAACCTATAGTTGCATAGCTTTATACTGTATATATATAGCTTTGCAAATAAACGTTTAACATAATCGAAAAGCTGTCTTATCCTAAAAACAGTATCCGTGAACAAAAAAATTGAAAGTGTTGTGCATGAGAGTTTATATGATTATATCACAACCGTTCATTTTCATGGCTTCTAAATAATTGCGGTTACAATACATATTAACATAATAATAATAATTAATCCATAAATGATAATTTTCGGGCCAATATATTTGAACGCAAAATATTAGGGCATCTCTAAGTCTTATATATTGTTACAATCTCTTATGTGCGCCAAAGAATTATACGTGGGCGGTTCAAAAAGTTTTGACACAAGACGTATAAATTTTTTATTTACATAATAAATATCAGTCTAACTATTTCATTCCTTCAAAATACTCTCCTTTAACCTCTATACAACGTCTCAGCCGCCTACGTTAACTCTGAAAGCACTCAGCATACTCTTCTTGCGAAATGCTATCGGTTATTAAATTTATAGCACGGGCGAGCTCTTGAATCCTCTCAAACCGCTTTCCACCAAGTTCTTTTTGATTTTTGGAAATAAAAGAAGTCGCACGGTGCCAGATCAGGACTGTAAGGAGGGTGGGGGAGCAATGCGACTCGTTTTTCCTGAAGGTACTTAGTGACGACTTTTGACTTGTGTGGCGCAGTATTGTCGTGATGCAACATGACATCACGCACTGTGCTTCTGCCACTGATTTCCATAAACTTTTTGAACATTGTTGGTAATAATCACCCATAACCATGCCGTTTACTGAGAAGAAAATGCAAACATCCGTTTTTTACTATTTTTTGCCGTTCTTGCAACTTGGGGACGGTTTTCTCCCCGACTGAGCCAAACGTTACTGTCATTCTTAGAAAAACTGAAGAAATTAAACCATGTTTCATCCCCAGTAATAATATTTTGAAAGCCATTGTCGAGATACTCAAGAAGTTGTCTGTAAACCTCAACTCTCTTTCGCTTATTCTCATCAGAAAGCACGTGAGGGACCCATTTTGCACATACTTTCTTGAGAGAAAGTTCATTATGCAAGATGGTTTCAATACTTCCAGTTGAGATGGGAATGACATCCTGAATACTCTCAATGCGGGTCATTACTTATAAGGTCTTCAACGATATTAACGTTCGAAGGTGTAACAGCTTCGCGGGGACGTCCAGAACGGGGTGCATTTTCGATGCTTGATTGTCCGGCTTCGAATGCTTCAATCCAGCGGTAAATAGTACGTTTGAATAGCACTTTAGTCCCACCCCTTTACCGTTTTTCCAGCACACCCAGATATAGTATCGTTGATTTTCGTGAGTGAAATTTTCCATTGTTTTCAGTAGACAAATTTCAAAAAAATAACCACCAAATCAAAGTGGGTCAAATTTTTTATGTTTAATTGTAATTGAGTGTAACTCAAACTTACTATTCACAGAGATGCTATGATCAGTGGTTGCTGAGATATTTGCACTGTGTCAAAACTTTTTGAACCACTCACGTGTTGTCATAAAAAGAAGCATTATCATTATAAGCAGATACAATAATTTGTATAATGACAAAATATTCGCATTTCAAGAAAATTAAGACTTCTTTTTTACGTACGCCTTAACTTTAAATTAATGCAAAAAGCCATTTTGATTTAATGTAGTCGTTGACAGTATGGTAAAATTAACAATTCTTTAATAAAATCTCCATTAAGCAATGCAAATCTAATTCGCCAAAGAAAATTGGGAGCGAGAAAAAAAATGAGAGTTACAAAATACACCCTAATCCTTAATAAATCAGATAAAAAATTAGAACTTACTGATGAAGAGTTAAAAGAATTCTCACAATGATTTTTTACGTTTGAGCAAATTGAAGTTTACATTTCTCCTACTTTTTTTATTATCGAGATTTTTGATACTGCCGTAATATTTCTTAGCAATCCTAAGATTAATCTAATGTCCTGAAGATACAGTCTTCTGCTTCTGTTATTTTGAGTTAGATTTGACAGGTGAAGATTTTCCTAAATTAGAAGAATATTTTACACCAACAAAATTACAATAGTGAGGCCCTGGAATATCGAAATGGCTATTATTCTGGGAAATAAAGAACCAACGGGAGTAAGAATTAAGCGTCGTCCATATGTTAAACTTTCAAAATATACCTCATGTTAGAAAAAAAATACCCTTCCGCTTCTCGAAATACAAGTACTAAATTAAACTTGCCTAAACAGGAATTACGCGGAAGATTGGGTTTGAGTGGTTGGAGGAACTAGAAATCGAGTTAAACTGCCAATGAAACCGTAGGTGTTATTGATATTCCATTTCGGGCATTAGGCGTTAAATTTACAAGCCATTTATTGTATTTGTATTACAAAATTTTAACAAACCGAAATATTTCTCCCTAGCCATAATATGACACCATGTATAACAAGGTGCACAACTAATAAGAACAAATGACTAATTAAATACCGCTGTAACCTTTACAAATAATCAAGAATTCAAATAATTTTAATAAATATAATATATGGTTTGTTAGTATACGTCAACGCGAATACTTGCTATAAGAATTTGTCTTTCTCTGTTATTTTAAAAAAACACCCCATTGATATTAACATTGCCATATAAAATTTTTTCATTAGTGTGCAGAAGTTAAAAAATCAAGTTTGGCAACAGACGTTTAAAAGGAAAGAAAATTCAATATTATCAAAATAAACTACTTTGTAAATATTCAAGAAGGTAATGCCTTCAACTGATAACTAACAAGGTTGTTTGTGTAATCCCATAAATGTTCGTCTTTAATCTGAACATATTTGTTGCAACAGCTAGTATAACACTATGCGCACCAAATGCATATTCGATGTTCTTAACGTACTTAGTTATTAAAGTGAATAGTAATCTAGTTATAAGACGGAAGCTACATGAAGGAAGGTTGCTTAAGTTATTTAGATTAGAATCTGTTAGTGGAAACCCGCTCCATTTCATTCTCGGAATTTAAATTGCAAGTAATTAAGAATGTATCAACGATATTACCGTCCAAGGAATCAATGACACTATCATACAGATTCATATCGCCCGTGAAAACACCCATAAAATTATTATCCGTCACATTAACACTCATAAAATCGCTATACACAAAATTATTATCAGTCACATTAACACTCATAAAATCGCTATATACAAAATTATTATTCTCATTATAGGCAATATTGCCAACACTGTTATCAATACTTGAATTCATGCCAACATCTTCATTACTAACATTAATCCCCTTTATTATGTTCGTAGAAAACTCATTATTGAAACTTTCTGCCACGCTTGTAGAAGAATCCGGAGTAGTTTTATAGCTAGTTTCCGGTTCACTAGTCTCATTATTTGTCTGACACCGAGAATAAATAGTTTCATTTCCATTGGCGCTATCAAGCCTAGTCTCAATGCAATTATTATAAGCATGAGAGCCTGTTTTAGGTTTCCCACGCTTGTCGCGGCGTTTACCAGGCTTGTCACGGCGTTTACCAGGCTTGTAATGTTTAAAAACCCAGCGTTGGCTCAAACACTGTTTTACTTCTAATTCCTTTTTTTTCATCACCGTTTTCAATTCTCGTGTTGCTGCACCCCATAGTAATCCAGCCAGTGCGCTACCATCTCCATATGAGTGGTTAGGAGCAATGATTTTACGAAAAATCAAAAAGGCCGATAGGTGTTTGGTTTCTTCTTTGCAGGCGTTAACCAGATTATTTGTGGAAGGAATAACATGAATATATGCTTTATCACCAGGACGTCTAGTTATCACGTTATTGTGGTCTGCCGTGACGTCCGCTTGATATAAAGGTGTCTGCATAGTCAATGTCGAGTTGTTGGTTTTGAAATTGAGTGACAATTAAAACCTAAGAACAATTTTTTGGTTGCCTCGTTCAGACCTTATCAGATTATATAGGCGTTGGACGGCGCAGTTAAGCTTCTAATGCGAAGAGTTGTAATGATCTCGGAGACCTCATCAAGAAAATAACATTACAAATTGGAGCGCAACATCCAAGCAAATGAATGTTACTGATTTTAGAACTGCGCAACAGGCGAATCTCGGGTCTGTTTCTTATTGAATGCTAAAGCTTAATTTTCCCCCTTTAGATAATTTCCAATAGAAGCAAGAATTATTGCTGCACATGGTGTAGTACAAAGTCAGCATAATATAATTTCTAAGTGCATGTTGCATAACTATTTCCAATAATGGATTGCGTTTGTTAGAGATCAGTGTACTCATGCGTGGGTATAATGCTTGAAAGAGGGCAGATAAGTTTCGACGCCTCTTCTGTGTATGTACATCCTCATTGGGGAAATTACATTATTGATACTTAAGCGGAGCGGGAAGGTAAATATTTATGCACCGTCGTTTCCACAGATTCCGGCGGTAAACGGGATAGCGGCAGAAAATACACTCAACTAATTTTAACTGCATGTAAGCAATAACATACGTTTATAAAAACAGAAGTTGATGTTAAATGGTTTTTTCCATACTGATCGAACAAATCATAAAGAACAATTAAATCTCATTGATTATTATTTCCACAAGCTTTCGATTATGTTTGGGTTCAGGTGTGTAAGAGGAACAATCAAGAACTTTTTTTTTCTTTGTCAATTGCGCTGTGCTGCAGGTCGTCATTCTGTTGGAAATCTATAAGTTTTCTTGCAGGTTAGAGGTCGCATCGTTGGATAAATCCAAACTTTAGTCCAAAGCGTGAGACCATTATGCGTTATTCGAACATTAACGCTAGCACAACTTTGCATGGTCACAATTGCAAAAGGGAGTACCAGACCAAGCAATTATCTAGACAGTCCATTGTTGAAAATCCGTGAGAACGCTCTATTGAATAACAACTATCAGGTTTGCACTTGAGATTACAACAATTTTGCATTTTGATTTTATTGATAGAACAGTCGCTCAGCTGCTTATAATACGTTAGAACGTGGATATAAAGGTTGACGCATTGGACTTCGATGCATATTTAAATAATCACTAGTAACATACTGCGACGGTAATGGCATACGTTGTTATCCTTCTCTCTCTACTCAGCAATTCCATCACCCACCTTTCCGATTTGTCTACGCATTCTCCACCCAGCGTTCTTCATGCAACTACAGTCCTACCGAACATCCTCTATGTGTCAATTATATACACAACAATTGTCATACTAAATATGGATATTAAATTTGTAAGATATCAAGAAATTATCTTAGACTTCGCGTTAATCTGTCTAATATATAGGTAAATTGTAGGCTAGAATATATTCGACAACGTATTATGATGGAGCAAAAAATATGAAGATGTATAATTATGACAGTAAGTATGTACGTGTAAAATTATATATGTGTTCTTCTCTTTTAATATACAAAAGTTTCATCAACGAGGGGTACGTACGTTGTACAAATGCGAGATTTGCTAAGCAATCAAAATGTCTTCGCGAACAAAAGATTTTACCATGGTAATACATATGTCGCTCACCGCGTATTTTGTAATACGCTAAAACCGTCACATTAATACTCTCGCGTTGCATAAAAATTTCGTATTTATTGTCGGATTAACATTGCCACTGTCAGCAATTTTGCTTTAATAAAGTATTTTAGTCGAGCTATGAGGTAAACTCGATATGTCGTATGTCAATTTGTCCATTCCAAATGGACATATATGTCAGCTTGGAATGTAGGAATATTGTTTGTCCAGTTTGTTCTATCGCCATGTTAAGCCATCAGTTTTGTTGCATGTACACTAGTACTATCAGTTAACTGTATAAGCAAATATCTACTTGTAATAGTCTGTATGTTATAGGCAGAATCAACAGAATTTACATCGACAAGCAGATATTGAACTTTCAAAGGCCTATCTTTTGTGTTCAAAAATGCACATGCCTTACCTTTAATTGCAAGCATCCAAATGCAATATATTTGTGATTTATCAAATTATATGATTACTCCCCGCCTCTCCTGAACTTTTTAATTAGCATTGCCACCAATTCAAATCGTTTTTTTACATGTAGTTACTTAGTCGTAATAATGTATTAAAAGAGGACGATTGATTCGATTTTATTACGCATCATCTCACATCATAATGGATGGTAATTGATGAGGATGCTGAGTTTGTGTTTATTGATTCGAACAGCATCGAATCGTTCACTTTGGTCAATAACTCTAACACCTTTTAAAAGTCTAAGAAAGTTGGAAAATTTTGTAAGCTGCTGGCTACAACCCAACAACACATCGATAATTTTATAGACCACCATGTACAAGTGAAACTCGTTAAGACGAAACCACGCTAAGCCGAAATTGCATTAAGCCGAAAGTTTTCGAACAACAATTTTATCTCGATATACCGAAGTTGTCACGTGAATTTGTATTGATTGGTTCGTTTCTTGAATGTAATGTCACAAACAATCGCTCGATTGTTTATCTAAGAATCCGGCCGAATCCATTTCTCATAAATCAGCTCTCGAGCACGTCAATTCTTTGCTTTTATATGTTAGTCAAGATTGTGACAAC